AATCAGCGCTATATAGTAACAGAAGTCAATATTTATTGAATATCTTACATTACAATTGAAGAATATCAGCTTCCAGCATTCAGAACAGCTCAGGTGTAGTCCTATGTATAGAGAACCGCATGTTCCCACTTCCAAAATGGCCACCACCACACTTCCGGTTTTGCGTGAGTTCTTCAGACGTTGCGTGTCCCGACATGTTTCGTCACTTCCTGGACTTTTTCACACGGGATCAAGATGTCTGAGAGGTGGTTCCTTATATTCTGTCCCACATCAAGGGCAGGAAATCGAATCCGCCATCTAACTATATGGAAAAACGACAGCATGTATATCTTTATTCCCATTCCCTATATGAGCACTGCAATCCCTATACGAGCACTGCAATCCCTATATGAGCACTGCAATCCCTATACGAACACTGCAATCCCTATACGAGCACTGCAATCCCTATACGAACACTGCAATCCCTGTACAAACACTGCAATCCCTATACGGACACTGCAATCCCTATACGAACACTGCAATCCCTGTACAAATACTGCAATCCCTATACAAGCACTGCAATCCCTATACGAACACTGCAATCCCTACACAAACACTGCTATCCCTATACGAGCACTGCAATCTCTGTACAAACACTGCAATCCCTATACCAGTGATGGCGAACCCGTGGCACGCCGAGCCTTATCTGTGGGCACGCCAGGAGAATCCAGCGGCGCGCTGTCTTCCCGGGTGTAGTGTGCGTGACAGCCGGGTCCCAAGTGCGCATGCGCAAGAAGCAGTGCTCTTTGTGAATGGTAAGGCGGTACCTGGGACACATGACAGATCCCAGAAGCCGCCGGACCAATCACAAAGCGCAGCGCTTCTCGCGCATGCGCACTGGGCATCCGGCTGTCCGACGAGCGCCCACACTACAGAAGCCGGGAAGACAACGCGCGGCTGGATAAAGGAACAGGTAAGATAAAAAAAAAAAACTCTGCGGAAGTAAGAGCGGGTACCTGTCAAATTCAGGTACCCGCTCCCCCTCCCTCCCCAAAGGTCAGCAGTCATCCCTGTACTGTCCGCAGTCTCTGGTCATCCCTGTGCTGTCCGCAGTCTCTGGTCATCCCTGTGCTGTCCGCAGTCTCTGGTCATCTCCTGTGCTGTCCGCAGTCTCTGGTCATCTCCTGTACTGTCCGCAGTCTCTGGTCATCTCCTGTACTGTCCGCAGTCTCTGGTCATCCCTGTACTGTGTCCGCAGTCTCTGGTCATCCCTGTACTGTCCGCAGTCTCTGGTCATCCCTGTACTGTGTCCGCAGTCTCTGGTCATCTCCTGTACTGTGTCCGCAGTCTCTGGTCATCATCAGTCTCTGGTATCTCCTGTACTGTCCGCAGTCTCTGGTCATCCCTGTACTGTGTCCGCAGTCTCTGGTCATCCCTGTACTGTGTCCGCAGTCTCTGGTAATCCCTGTACTGTCCGCAGTCTCTGGTCATCCCTGTACTGTGTCCGCAGTCTCTGGTCATCCCTGTACTGTCCGCAGTCTCTGGTCATCCCTGTACTGTGTCCGCAGTCTCTGGTCATCTCCTGTACTGTACTGTGTCCGCAGTCTCTGGTCATCTCCTGTACTGTGTCCGCAGTCTCTGGTCATCCCTGTACTGTGTCTGCAGTCTCTGGTCATCTCCTGTACTTTCTGCAGTCTCTGGTCATCTCCTGTACTGTGTCCGCAGTCTCTGGTCATCCCTGTACTGTGTCCGCAGTCTCTGGTCATCCCTGTACTGTGTCCGCAGTCTCTGGTCATCCCTGTACTTTCCGCAGTCTCTGGTCATCCCTGTACTGTCCGCAGTCTCTGGTCATCTCCTGTACTGTCCGCAGTCTCTGGTCATCTCCTGTACTGTGTCCGCAGTCTCTGGTCATCTCCTGTACTGTCCGCAGTCTCTGGTCATCTCCTGTACTTTCTGCAGTCTCTGGTCATCTCCTGTACTGTGTCCGCAGTCTCTGGTCATCTCCTGTACTATGTCCGCAGTCTCTGGTCATCCCCTGTACTGTGTCCGCAGTCTCTGGTCATCTCCTGTACTATGTCCGCAGTCTCTGGTCATCCCTGTACTGTGTCCGCAGTCTCTGATCATCTCCTGTACTGTGTCCGCAGTCTCTGGTCATCTCCTGTACTGTCCGCAGTCTCTGGTCATCTCCTGTACTTTCCGCAGTCTCTGGTCATCTCCTGTACTGTGTCCGCAGTCACTGGTCATCCCTGTACTGTCCGTAGTCACTGGTCATCCCTGTACTGTGTCCGCAGTCTCTGGTTATCTCCTGTACTGTGTCCGCAGTCTCTGGTCATCCCTGTACTGTGTCCGCAGTCTCTGGTCATCCCTGTACTGTCCGCAGTCTCTGGTCATCTCCTGTACTTTCCGCAGTCTCTGGTCATCCCTGTACTGTGTCCGCAGTCTCTGGTCATCCCTGTACTGTCCGCAGTCTCTGGTCATCCCTGTACTGTCCGCAGTCTCTGGTCATCCCTGTACTGTGTCCGCAGTCTCTGGTCATCCCTGTACTGTCCGCAGTCTCTGGTCATCCCTGTGCTGTCCGCAGTCTCTGGTCATCTCCTGTACTGTGTCCCGCAGTCTCTGGTCATCTCCTGTACTGTCCGCAGTCTCTGGTCATCTCCTGTACTGTGTCCGCAGTCTCTGGTCATCTCCTGTACTGTGTCCGCAGTCTCTGGTCATCTCCTGTACTGTCCGCAGTCTCTGGTCATCCCTGTACTGTGTCTGCAGTCTCTGGTCATCTCCTGTACTTTCCGCAGTCTCTGGTCATCCCTGTACTGTCCGCAGTCACTGGTCATCCCTGTACTGTGTCCGCAGTCTCTGGTCATCTCCTGTACTGTGTCCGCAGTCTCTGGTCATCCCTGTACTGTCCGCAGTCTCTGGTCATCTCCTGTACTGTGTCCGCAGTCTCTGGTCATCTCCTGTACTGTGTCCGCAGTCTCTGGTCATCCCTGTACTGTCCGCAGTCTCTGGTCATCCCCTGTACTGTCCGCAGTCTCTGGTCATCTTCTGTACTGTTCGCAGTCTCTGGTCATCTCCTGTACTGTGTCCGCAGTCTCTGGTCATCTCCTGTACTGTGTCCGCAGTCTCTGGTCATCTCCTGTGCTATGTCACCAGTCTCTGGTCATCTCCTGTACTGTGTCCACAGTCTCTGGTCATCCCTGTACTGTGTCTGCAGTCTCTGGTCATCCCTGTACTGTGTCCGCAGTCTCTGGTCATCCCTGTACTGTCCGCAGTCTCTGGTCATCCCTGTACTGTCCGCAGTCTCTGGTCATCCCTGTACTGTCCGCAGTCTCTGGTCATCTCCTGTACTGTGTCCGCAGTCTCTGGTCATCCCTGTACTGTCCGCAGTCTCTGGTCATCCCTGTACTGTGTCCGCAGTCTCTGGTCATCTCCTGTACTGTGTCCGCAGTCTCTGGTCATCCCTGTACTGTCCGCAGTCTCTGGTCATCCCTGTACTGTCCGCAGTCTCTGGTCATCCCTGTACTGTGTCCGCAGTGTCATCCCTGTACTGTCCGCAGTCTCTGGTCATACTGTCCGCAGTCTCTGGTATCCCTGTACTGTGTCCGCAGTCTCTGGTCTCTGGTCATCATCCCTGTACTGTCCGCAGTCTCTGGTCATCCCTGTACTGTCCGCAGTCTCTGGTCATCCCTGTACTGTGTCCGCAGTCTCTGGTCATCCCTGTACTGTGTCCGCAGTCTCTGGTCATCCCTGTACTGTGTCCGCAGTCTCTGGTCATCCCTGTACTGTCCGCAGTCTCTGGTCATCCCTGTACTGTGTCCGCAGTCATCTGGTCCGCATCTGGTCATCCCTGTACTGTGTCCGCAGTCTCTGGTCATCCCTGTACTGTGTCCGCAGTCCTGGTCAGTCCGCAGTCTCTGGTCATCCCTGTACTGTCCGCAGTCTCTGGTCATCCCTGTACTGTGTCCGCAGTCTCTGGTCATCCCTGTACTGTGTCCGCAGTCTCTGGTCATCTCCTGTACTGTGTCCGCAGTCTCTGGTCATCCCTGTACTGTGTCCGCAGTCTCTGGTCATCTCCTGTACTGTGTCCGCAGTCTCTGGTCATCCCTGTACTGTGTCCGCAGTCTCTGGTCATCCCTGTACTGTTAATTAGTTTGCACTACTGTACGAGTTGTTTTTTCTAAACCAAAAGCTCGATATTCAGGTTTCATTGCAGTGTTGGCACTTTGAAAGAAAGTTGGTTTTGGGTTGCAGTTTGGGCACTCGGGCTCAAAAAGGTTCGCCATCACTGCCCTATGGTAATGACTCCCTCTACTGGTCAATCTATGCATTCCCAGATCAATACATTCTACATCTACTCACACACAAACTAAACCTGATCCATATCCCCCAAACTATCTCATAAAAATGATAATAAATATGATATATAATAAAATAAATTAAAATAAAATAAATAAAATCAACCCCTAAAAAACACTAACAGTTAATATAAAATCTACCAAATACATAAAAGTTTTCACTGTTTTACATGTATGTTCAGTATAAAGGTAATACACTATCAGAAGTTTATTTTTTTGAGGTTCACAAAGAATTTTGGAATTTCCATACTGGATGATTACAGATGATACGAGTTTGCTTTGGAATTTGGAAAGACATCTTTACAGAGACATTTTAGACATTTATTTTTTGGGACATTTAGTTTGATATAATTTTTGGGGATTTTTATTTTATTTTACAATTTATTTTATTGTAAATTGTATTTATGTATTATTTTATTGTATATTGGGATAGATTCATCTATGTTTAAAGAAGAGTTTAGTTACATGTACACATACTTTCAAGGGTGAAAGTTTACTTTTCTTTGGGTATTGTAGATATTTTTGTAGGTGATAAGGTGCGGAATTCTGTTTATTGATTATTGTGTACGTAAATGAAATTTGCATCCTTTTTTTTTTCCCAAATAGTTTTCCTTTAGTGGTATTTGATCACCTGTACACTTCTTATTTTTTCGCGCTATAAACAAAAAAAGACCAAAATTTTTAATAAAAATATTTTCTCATTTCTGTCATGAAAAATATCAAAAAACTAAAATTTCATCATAAATTTAGGCCAAAATGTATTCTGCTCCATGTTTTTGTAAAAAACATTCCCAATAAGTGTATATTGATTGCTTTGTGAAAGTTATTTCATCTACAAACTATGGGATAGATAATGGAATTTACACAGCTTTTTTACTTTCTGACTGCCCATCATATTTCTTGAGGTGCTAAAATACCAGGATAGTACAAACACCCCAAATGACCCCTTTTTGGACAGTAGACACCCTAAGCTATCTGCTGAGAAGCATATTGAGTCCATGGAGAATTTTTTTTTTTCCACAAGTTTTTGGAAAACTAAAAAAACATTTTTTTTTACACAAAGTTGTAACTTAAATTATATATTTGTCACACAAGCCATGAGTATATGTGGAATTACACACCAAAATACATTCTGCTACTTCTACCGAGTATGGGGATACCACATGTGTGAGACTTTTTGGGAGCCTAGCCACATACAGGAGCCTGAAATCCAATGACCGCTTTGAAAGCCTGAAGGTGAGTAACTTCCTCATTTCACTTCCTGACTACCTATCATAGTTTCGGGGGCCCTGAAATGCCAGGATAGCACCAACCCCCCCAAATGACCCCTTTTTGGAAAGTAAACACCCCAAGGAATTTAAAAAGAGGCATGGTGAGTATTTTGCAGATTTAATTTTTTTCTTACAAGGTTTTGAAATATAAAAAAAGAAAACAAAAAATAAGTTTGTTTTTTTTTTTCTTCAATTTTCAAAAACTTGTGACAACAAATGAGATCTGCAAAATACTCGCCATGCTTCTTATCAAATTCCTTGGGGTGTTTACTTTCCAAAAAGGGGTCATTTGGGGGGGTTTGGTGCTATCCTGGCCTCCGAAACTGTGATAGGTAGTCTGGAAGTGTAATGAGGAAATAAAGCCATTTAAAAGCCTGAAGGTGCTTATTGGATTTTGGGGTCCTGTACTTGGCTAGACTGCCAAAATGTCTCACATGTGGTACCCCCATACTCAGGAGAAGTAGCAGAATGCATTTTGGGGAGTAATTCCACATATACCCATGGCACGCGTGAGTAATAAATCATTTAGGTGACAATTTTGTGTAAAAAAAAAATAAATGTAATTTTTTTAAAGCAAACACCCTAGTGAATAAAATGGTGGGTACTGCAATTTTTTATGGCACATAGTACATGTGCAGTGATTTTTCAGATGCAATTTAAAAAAAAATGCACTTTTTTTACTTTTAATGCACAAAAACACAAAATATTGGGCAATTATTTGGAAAGTTATAAAATATGATGGTATGCCAAGTAAATAGATACCAAACATGACATGCTTTAA